GGTCTGATCCTCCTTTTAATTGGCCCCGTGGGGCTAACACATGTCAGTCAGCAGACCATGTCGCCGCCTACACCAAAGAATTTCTCAACACTGTGAGGGTTGGCAGAACGGCGTCAAACATTACTGCTTCGAAAAGCTCGAGGAATGGAGCACTCATCATCATGGTTCACCTTTTGGTATGCTGCAAGCAGTCCATTCCCATTTGGAGTCGTAGTGACTTCTAAATGTGAATTGGTCCACTCAATGATTTGCGCGGGGGAAAGGGGCGAGGCAGACAGGGGAGGAGTCGCTGTTCTTATCCTCCCAGACGAGTCTAGGGCCAGCTAGCTACCCTCAGAGACATTGGACCTTTGCTGGCCCGGCCGGGAGCCGATCTGGGGTCTGACCCCCAGACCATGCAAGTGGTAGCTTGTTTCAATTTTTTTTCGCGTCTTTATTTCGCACTTCTGTGCCGATTAATGCCCGGTATAGTATTTAATGGAGAGTCAAAAGGAGGTGTTCCCACCACATACGTTTTGGCTCGGCGCCAGCCTGTTTCCATTCGTCCTTGCCACTGTAGGACAGGCAGCCACTGAGCTGGGTCCGCCCCAGAATCTATGGACGTAAGGACGCCTCCCCGACGCTTCCACAAACATTAGGCGTGAAAAAACGATGAAAATCACCATGACCTCAATTTTTTTCTCTCATGCGGAAATTTTTTATTTTTGCAAGTCCCTGGTTTCACCCTCTGTTGAAGAATGCGGCCTCGCGTTAACCATTTATGTTTCAGCTAGAAGAGGAATCGTTCGTGTCCGTGCCGGCATTGGTGAATTTTTACAAAAGTCACCGGCGTCCAATTACAGCTGCCTCCGGGTGCATTATCTCAAAGCCGGTTTCTGATGACAGAGCTATTGGACTAATCCTAGATGGAAAAGAGCTGGAGGCGAGCTATATGCACGTCCTGAAGCCTCACATGAGTCAGAGTAAGAGCACATTTCAATTTCTGCAAATATTCTCAAAACACGGGCGAAGTCCTTTCCCAAAACAGTAAGGTTCCCACAGAAGAGCATTCATTGGCGACTCGCCATTGACTTGCATTTTGCATCGACATTTTTTTATGCTTGCTTTGCTGTTGTTCCATTTTTTCTTGATTTACGTCCACCCCACTCCCGTTTTACTCTTTATTCTCTTGAAAAAAAGTACAGATTCCCTTCAAATAGTAGACGTCTTTGCTTTATGTGTTCATATGAAGCGCCATCTGCTTGTCGGACGTCTCCATAAGAAAATCACCCATGCTGCCAAAACCCGTTTAAAGTACGGCGCCCCTTGCGAGGTAGACGGAAGCGAGGTGCCCATGGCACTTCATCCGCTCCACTATCGTTGCTATACTCTCATGAAACGACATGTGACTGAGACTGATCGCAGTTCAGGTCGAGTCTGAAATAACATATTTTGGACTGGCTTAGCAGTCTGAGACAGTGGATACTCCTGTAACAATGGTTATTTGTATCGTGCGGCAGTAGGATCAATTAAGTGCAGGGTCAACTAGCTAATTACATAAATCTGTGGGTTATATGCAAAAATGTGAAAGCAAGAGGTGCAAAGGGGCGTTTTATGGGAGCAGTACCCGCCAAAAGCGATGAAGGGTCGCACCGTGGCCACGGTATCGCCTCAAAAGCGCTTTTTTTACTTGCACGCCTTACTAACTCGGACTAGCCCATTGTCATTGATTCCTAGAAGTCGAGAGGATAAAGTTTCCGCCAAATCGATCCTTTTCAGGATACGACACGCCTTCTACTTCCATTCATTATAGAAGTGACTTATTGAAAGAGTTGTGGCCAACACAATTACTTGTGGGGGCCAGCCGGTGTACAAGCCAAAGTTATTGCCCCAGGCGAGTCTGGTAACAATCTACGATCCCGGGGGGGGGAGGTAGAATACTTGGTTCGCTGTGCGTAGGCGTTCCAGGATTCAATCCTCGCACCATTCGCGTGGTAAGCGTGCAACTTGCCACCAATCACCTCCTCCTAAACTAAAACATTTCCTATAGTAAATAAGGCTATATGATAAGACAATTCGCCACGTAGGTGGGCATGGCGAACGACGACGCGCACGACGTACGAGTTGTCGTGCCTGGCTGTTTGAGCTTGCAGTGTTCAGAGGCGGAAAATTCAATATCGCCTACCACGCTGTCTTGTCTACTCTAGAATTCATATGAGTTCCAGTGCCCTGCGGAAAAACGATCACTCAGCGCAGTAGCTTCTACCACGGCTTTTGCGCGGCCCTCTCAGACCTGGCCAACCAATACAGTTCGTGTCGGAGGCGGGAACAGCTGCTCCAGCGACTGCTCCGTCTTTCCCTGCCGACTCGCCTCTCCTGTGAGGTGGCTATATGGACGTCCAGAAGCCTCACATGAGTCAGAGTAAGAGCACGTTTCCATTTCCACAAATATTTTCAGAACACGGACGAAGTCCTTTCCCAAAACAGTGAGGTTCCCACAGGAGAGCATTCATTGGCGACTCGCCATTGACTTAATGGATATTGATCGCAATGCCATTCGTGGGAGCCCTTTGAAACTCCAATCTTAACAAGCTCGCAAAAATCTTGACTTTACTTTCCGAATTTTGAGCAGTATTTCAGCAGTATTTCCAAGCGTGATATCATTTTTTAGTACCGCAGCCAAGGACGCTTTCTCAACGGGTACTTCTGAATCAGACGGCTCTTCGTCAGTATGCTGCAGCACGCCAACAACGTCCAAAGTCCAGCATCAGCCAACATCAAATCAGGTTTTAACCAATACCTTTCCATCCAGAAGAAGAATACGGCTTCAAAATAAAAAGTGATGATTTTAGCGTAGCTCCCGAAACCGTCTTAGTGCCACCGGTACCAGCCGCTTTGATCAATCGTCCACTTCCGCTTCCTATCCGATCCCCACGGAACACTCAGGAAGAAGAAGAGGATGTGAGTTTTCAAATGATTGACGCTAGGGGAAATAATTTTCTGTTGTCGTCGTGTGCAACTCTGTCTTTATGGGTCAAAGGCGCGAGCGGTCGCGCTGCGGTCACATTAATCATGTTGAGCAGCCGGTAAATGGTGGCGTCGTCCTGTGGTCGCATAGAGCTTCTCGCGCAAGCTTCGCTCGCACATTTGTAGAGAAAAAGTGTGGGCATGGCTCTCGCTCAAAAGGCAGCTGCTTCGCAAGCCGCATCGCTACAGCGACACGCCTCTTGCCACAAGAAAGTTATGACAGATCTCCCTCCTGAGTCTTGCCAATTATAGTACTCCGAAATGGATTACGACGCCATGGACGGTATATTAGATGCATCCTCACTGTCGAGTTACGAAAGAACCCGAAGTTCTAGCACAAGTTCTATTCCTAGTAAGTATCCTCAATACCTGGATTTTTTTTACTGAGTAATAACTGCTTTGCAGATGTTATGTCGCGACAATTTCAATCGTGTCAGAATCTTAGCTATCGCTCACACTCCCCATGTACGACGGCAGCGAAAATTCCTCCGCCACTTCCGGTACGACCCCCGTTGCCTCCACGGCCGAACTTTAAGATGGATACGGTAGGTATACAGAATTAGAGGGACCTTCAGCGTGTAGAAACCAATTTTAACAATTTAGAGCACAATGGTAGACGAAGTTGAATTGGAACATTCTCAGTCTGAGGACGCCAGGGATAGCGCTTTTGTTGATTACGATGAACCTCGAACAAAGCTCACAGACGATGATTATGACAAGGTGGGTACGATTATTGAGATGAGGGGTCATGTTGTGGCAGGGATGTGCCAAGTAATTCAGGTGCCACAGGCCAACATCACAGCCATTTATAACTTAGGTCGAATAATCCGAGCCCAAAGGACGGTCTCCCAGAGATGGCCGTACCATTTATCGTTTCAATCTTTCGCAACACTTGGCGCAACCTGCCGCCTTATGCACTATTTTTGAGCGTAAGCTTACGGTAACCTCTAGATTCTGCACTGCAACGGGAAGCCGCATTAGGTCCGTAACCGCTTTCGTAACGCTCAGTCGCATAGCGGACGAAGAAACGCAAGCAACATTACATGATTCTCTCACCCGCAGAATGAAATGGATACAGTTGTTTGGCGCACCTGTAGTTAATGGGTAGGGGGGGCACGCATTCGACAAGGGAATGCCTTTAAAATCCCGAAATCTTTGAACGGAAACCTAGGGAAATCGGAAAATCCCGGAACGTTAGTTACAATACGGAAAGCGAAGTTGTTACCTGTACCTCACAAGCAAGTTGCTCTCGGGTACCGAAGCCAAAACACCAGGGGAAAACCAACCCACTGAAAACTTGTTCGCAGGGTAACCTGACTCTCTGGATGTCGTTTAACGTGAAAACATCACAACGGCGCGAGGTGCTTTCTCCGATGTTGACGTAAGCTCCTGTACCGCAGGCTTGTCCGTATGGTGCCCAGAAAATGTACAGTCCTCATCATTGCGGACCGGTGGGGCGTGGCAGTGCGGCTGCGTTTGGTGCGGTTTGGCAAAGTCGTTCTGCACCAGTTTTTGAAGCGGGCAAGTGCATTACTGTATAATATCCTTCGTATTACTCGTTTTCTACCACTTTTTGTCGCATACGCGTTGCAACAAAAAGGCTGAGAACGGCTTCAACAGTGTGCGCACTCCTTCTGGCTGACACGCCCCACCGGTCCGCAATGATGAGGACTGTAAAAGTTCGGACTGGAAGCCCTTCCTGGAGACAACAGCAAAATTTCCAAGCCAATGTTAAGGCAAATCAGAATGAAGGACGCAGTTAGGCACTGTTCACAGTCCGAACCTGCGTTTCTCTCGAAAGAAACGCTTCGGCGAAAAGCTTTTGATACGTATCGATTGGCGGTTCGGCGAAGAGTCTGGCGGTTGCGCGAAACGGTTTTGATACGTATCGACGGGCGGTTCGGCGGAGCGGTTGGGCGAAAAACGCTAGCTCCGACCGCCCTGGCGTTTTTCTCAGGGCGGAGCCAGCGAAATCGATACGCATCCATTG